GTACTCTTAAAACTTGTGGTATTAAAACTAATTTTATTTTTAAAAATGACATCATCGACTATAAAAAATTCATCCCTTAGAGACCAATAAGATTTTTTGTTATTACTTACGTTTTAAGATCGGTCCAACCAAAACTAATATATTCGCTTAATTTCCGACATTCAAAATCACGTGTAGTCTCCTTCTCGATCAGGCAGCGATAGTTTGTTTTGATAATCCGAGTTGCCGTCGAGCACGGAGAAGCATGTGGCGCCCTGCAGACGCGCCGCCAGCTCAGTTAGCGTGGGTAGCTGGCTTAGACTATTTTTCCATCCTCTAAATAAATAATAATAATACATAACGTACACACTCAACATAGCCCCGCAATAGGGAAACCCTGTGTCGCGGGTGCCATGGACACACACACATAGACAACTACAAATTACACCCAAACTCACGAGAGAAATAATTGTAGGCCATACAAATATTTCTCCCGGCCCGGGAATCGAACTTGGCACCTCTGCGTGGCAGTCCGGCATGGTAACCGTTCGGCCACAGAGGCAGTTATTGTTAGTAGTAGTTTATGAATCGATTTGGATGATTATTTTTTTGTTGGTAAGAGGGTACCTCACTAGTGACCCTATTTAAATTTGTAGAAAATATTCCTGGGACCTCTGCGTGGCAGTCCGGCATGGTAACCGTCTAAGGTAGTTGCTAGTGCACGCGCTGGACCGCGACATTTAACTCACGCGTGTCGAGGCGTCAGAGGATGGATAAAAATAAAGGAATCGTATAAGGTTGAGGCACACGCGAATGCCACCATCCTTTTTTGACAGTAACACTAGAAAGTGGACCCATTAAGTTGGGTGTGTGACCTTTCTGATTACCCCGACTTGTTCCATTCTTTTCAGCTCCTCAGATAAGCGATCTTTCAGACCTAACGGTATTTTTCTACTTGCGCATACGACTGGCGGCACGGACTGAAGCCACTAACTAAACAAATCGGCATATTTATCTTTACCCTATTTCTTCACACGACTGCCGTCCCAACACGCTCTGGCATCTAATGTTAGCTACAGCAAAGAACAAATTTTGAGGTTCTTTTTATACCACCATTATAAACTGTTTACACCTTTGATAGAAATCACATCACCAGGGTAGGATTCTAATTTGATATTTGCCGGTTGCAACATTCTATCGTTAAAACCAAACAATAAAAATTTTTCAAAAGAAATAACATGTCGAGCATAAATTGCTTAGTTCCGTTTTTGTAGTACAAAGATTCTGATCACTGCCCTTTGCTTTTTATACATGACACCATATCCATATAAAACGGTTCGTTATCAGAATCAGTACTATAACACTGATTTTGTTCGATTTCGTACACTTTTTAGTACCGTGGTCATTATAAATAAAACAGGACTAAAAGTGCTTTTTCCACCGGCGAGGCCACACGAGACGAGACGAGGCGAGGTATGAATTTAAATCTGCCCAACCTACTTCCACCAAAAATTGCCATAGCGACCTCGCGCGGTATCGCGTGAGCACTCGCGAGCTCGCGCTAGGGTTAAGGATAGTGAAGACACAGTATACTGTTCAATTCATCTAGCGATAAACACGCGGCTAAAGTACCATGTCTCGCAAATTCTTATTATTAAATATGTTAACGGAACAAGAATCAGATGAAGATGCTAATCATGATTTAGAAGAAATAATCATTGTTGTAATATAAGCTATTTGTACCCTCTAAGATAAAATAAAAAGTAAATGATAAATAAAAAGAACTTTTTCCAAAAAAAATTTTTATATAATCTTTAATCCCAAGGCAAACATTACGAACTAGCAAAATACACATAAAAAGTTTTACGACTCGCGCTGGTATGTTTACATTATATTGCAACTATATCGTGTATACATTTTTTTGAAAACGATGCAATGTTTTAAAAGTGGTTACATAATTATGATAAAATCATAACATCATAACCTTAGTCGTGTACATTTTAATGCAATTATAAATATATAATATGCATTGTATAAATATTTACGAAAATGATATAGATACATGTGTGACACAAGGACTATATATTTTTCATTGACTGTATGTAGTTTATTTATTTTTCTCTGAAATAAAAGTACTTATCCCTTTTTTAAAATGGTGTCGTGATTACAAATTTTTAAAAACAGCACAAGGTACATTTTTTGAAATATCTAATATTCACATAATTTCGAAAATGTGTGAACATTTACATTTCAACGGACGCGACTGTATGTCACAATCTCGCGATTGACATTAATAGCCGTCGCGAGCACGCGCGAGCTCGCGTCATATCGTACGAGACGTCGTGAATCGAGTTAATAAAGAGTCTATGTATGCAGCAATACGGTTCAATGTTACATCAACAAATCTCGTCTCGCCCATCCTCATCAATTTCGACCATTTCCACCGAAGATGCGCTAGGAGAGAATTGATAATTTTACCATACAAGTTTTAAAAATTGTCTCTCCTCGTCTCATCTCGTCTCGCCTCGCCGGTGGAAACACACCCTTACACATTCTAGCAAAATGTCAGCGATTACCCCATGCAAAACTAAACGAAGAAAAAGAAAGAATAAACAACTAGTTTATTCCTTTCCATACACCTGTATTTTTCATTCACCGGTACACTTGATTACTTAGATCTACCCACAACAGTATTCAATCATATTTAAAGCTCTGAGAGGCACTGCAACTGTTATGGACAGGCATATCCCTTACCACCAGTCTCACGACTTATTCATCCTGTGCCTGGTATCTAAAAAAAATATTTTCATCAATCATACATTGCGGTGCTGAAGTGTGCTGTTAGATATGTGTACAAAATTATATCCAATTTTTAAGCTGCTCGAGGACTAAAACAAAGTTTCATCGAAGCCTAGACATAGACCCAAGTAAACAGATTATAAAATCTCATACCAAAGCATAAATTAACTTAGGATTTTTTGTATTTTAGCAAATAAACGTATTGGATTAAATTATATTTTAGCAAAAAAAAAACACGAAAAAGAGCGATAAAAATCTTTAAACTGTCTTTTAATTTAATTAAATATTTTAATTTTATATAATTTAATTTTATTTGTGCTCATACAATATCTTAAAAATCATTAATTATTTAATACAATTGAAATCGTAATTTTTTCATCCAATGCGTGTGCTTTATTTAATTACAACGAATTTCGCTTCTGCTGTTGTTTATTACATTTTGCTCCTGCCAGAAGTTTAGCTAGGGGATTCGAATAAAGCCAAGCAACGTTTGACAATATTTTTTTACTGTTACGTCACTGCAAAAGTCTTGCTGCGCGCAGCGTTATTTCGCGTCGCTATCAACATTGCGAGTTCAAATGCCCCATTCAAGTGCGAGCGAGAAGAATAAAGGTCTATCCACACATATCCGGGCCGTGCGCGGGCCGTGGCCGGGACGTAGACAGGCCGTGCTCCGTTAGAGGCTCAAAAAAATATCCTTGTGTATATTTTGTATGAACTCGTCCACACATGTCCTTGTCCGGGCTGGGGCCGGGACGGGCCCGCAGTTCATACAAACTAGCCCGCTCCGTCCACGTTCCGGGCACGGCCCGGATACGTGTGGATACTCCTTAAGTTGCGTAGTCAGTTACTACTTCATAGATCGCGATGTGTGAATGAACATTGTAATATGTCATTTGCTACAACTCTAGTTGCAGAAGTCTATTTCTCATTTCATTTGTCATTTGTCAAATGAAGTGATCGAGCGCGAACGTTATATCCGTATTTGTTTTTATTCACCGATGAGAATATTCCAAAATGCAAAGCGCTTCTGATGTAATATCTTCTTTATTTTGGTTTAAAGATGATGTCGATACTGATGATGAGAAGGAACCCCTAATAATAGAACAGTTTGTGCAAAATGTTGAAGATTTCAGTTCACAGTATGGGAGTGAGATTAGTGTGTCGTATACTGCCTTCAATCTCCGAGGACCCCCTTCGAACTTTCCTGACTATGGAGATTATCCTCAGGCTTTTGTCATGGTGGGTAAATAGATTACAATTACCATTTTATATAGAATAGTCTTAATTTTAGATTTTTAAACCTATAAATGAATATTATAGATCCGTGCAATAGTGTTATTGTTTTTGTTTTCATTGTGTATCGTATCTCGGAATAAGACTTTGGGTTAGTGTAGGAGTATGGTTTTATTGTATAAAAATATGTAAAAGAACAATATAATTGCATTAAAATTGCAAATGTGTATTATTTTTATCATGTAAGTAACAAGAAATAACAAAGGTGTACAATTTGCATACCTACAGATGTAGTATTTGACTTTTGTTCTACATTCTTCACAATTAATAGAATCTTAATTGATACCTCTCACATAAGTTGTTGTAAGTCAAAAAACCTTTGTTTTACTTTTTATGTAAATATATCTTTTTTTATGTATACTGACAGTGCCATATTTGAAAGTAACAACACTAGAGTAATCTTCAGGTAAATTTTTTGTAAGCTCAATTTTGGTGACAATTCCTTTTTATTTTAATATTTAGAAGAATATTATCGTGAAGTATTATTTAATATTCGAGTGTGGTAACCTGAAATGTTCTTTAATATTTCAGGATGATATATTCAAGTAAATTAAATATTAAAAATTGTCTCCAAAATTCAGTACAAAAAACTTTACTTTTAATTAAGGAACCTATAATAAACATTTAAGAAAAGTATATATTTAAGTTGAAAAGCAAAAAATAGTATTTTGACTTTCAATTATATCTATAGTTATCAATTTAATTAAATAAAAAAAATAACTTCATGTGCTGGTATACATATAAGAGCACATTCAGTTTCTTCATTCTGACATTGTCGATGATATTAATTGTAGAAACATAACAATAAAAAAAAAAGAAAAAAAGAAGCATAACAAATCATCGCTTAGCAGACAACACTGCTCAAATGGAAAATTGGCGATTTTTACTTTTGAATGTAACTCAAGTCCAAATATAATGTCAATATCAATAAAAATTTTACAACCAACTCATATACAATTATCTATAAACTAAGCACTTACAATAATAGATTACAAAATCTTGTCTGCAATAATATGTCAGTTTTTTCACTCCTTTAAAGTTACTCTAAATTACTTGAGCAGTGTTGCTTGCTAAGCGACAAAATGTAAAAAGCTAGAACATGAAAAGAAATGTATACATGTGTAAAAAATATTTAAATGCAAGCGCAACAATATGAATTGTATTAGGAAAGCAATTTATTGCTATGGCACTCCGTAAGGGTGTAGCACCTAGTCGCTACTTTTATTTTTACTTTAGTTTATACATTACAAGTATAATAATAAAAAATTTGATTTACATTAAACTTATTTACTCATGTTGTACAATGCTCATTAAATAGCAGTGTCTGCAAAAGCCCTTCAATTAGTAAGCAGGAAACTTGATATGGGAGAAAACTTAAATAGGACACCGCCAATAAACAAAAAGAAGTTAAGTAACTACATGTAGTGATTAATTTATTATTCTCATGATTATTGGTCGATTACCCAATTTGAGTTCTTCAAAGACATAAATAATTGTATAGCATTATTTTTTATACAAACAAATTGTTACATTAATTAAGATACAGAAAATTTACAGTTTTATTTTTATATAATGAGGTAGTATAAATAAATTTGTTAATTATGCAGAGAACCTATGGGACATGGTGGGATGAAGCTCCATCTGCTCAGGAAGATTATATGCCACAAAATAGCAGTACTATAGGGAGTCAGGATTTTGTAGGTGAGTTATTCTACAAATTTATCATTTGATTGCTTGTTCAAGTACAAAGTATTGCTTGTCAATACCAACATATTGACAAGCAATGCACAGATTATTTTTGTGTACCCAATTTTGGTGGCAATTTTTTTTATTATTTAAGTATTCAAATATATTATTTGGAATATTATTTAATATTTCAGGTTACTACACTCAAATATTAAATAATACTTCATGTTAATATTCTACAATATTTAAATAACAAAAATAACCTGCACACTATGCTAACTCGAATTTGGTTGATTTTTTTCCCAAATTATTCAGCTTCCAGAAAATAATACAAAAAGTATTAATCATATATTTTGTAATATGTGATGAATAACGTGTCGTAAAAATAGAATAATTAATATACATTTGAAAATTAAAAAGTTATCGCAAGTTTTGTGTGTAGGGTCTGGTTAAAAGTTGCAATTTTCAAGTTAGCATGGTTTTAATTACTGGTATCAGTGTGAAAGACAACAACAATCAAACAACTGAACCACCCAACACTTATTTTAATTTAGACTTCAAACACATTTTTTTAAACAAAATTATTTACTATCTGTACATCTTCCTTGCATTAACTTAAAAAAGTATGAACACATTGAATGTTGACGAAGTTTGATTTTATAGTTCATGACATTTGATACTTGGCATTGCATTACTACTTATTACTTACTATTTATTATTATAAATGTACTTCTACATTCAGCAGAATTGTACATAGTAAACTATATTCTGATATTTCTCATATTACTTCCAACAGAAGTGTCATTTGAGAGAGCAGTTTATCCAATGGAAGTATCCGTCTTTGAAACATATAATCCTGGTGCTATGATTCGTATCTGGGCCTGGGGTCCCTCAACTTGGATGTTGCTCTGGGAAGGAGAACCAGAGTATGTTGGAGACACTCCCAGAATCTTTAGTCCTCCTATAAGGCAAATGAATTTTCCTACTAGGTAAGTAGCTCATTCTATTGTTTTTGAGAGTAGAGGATTACATGATATCACTTCACATTCTCACCGATCAGATCTACTGTGATTTGATTACCGTTGAGCTTTATGGCTCAATATCCAGTACCGTGGGTGCCACAAAGACTGAAGTCTGTAATGTGATGTCTATGATAGCCTTAATATAGGCGAACTGTTTTTGTGTTACTTTAATACCATACAATATATAACAAAATATACCATATTTGCAGTTTTTTTAATGATAAACATTTCATAACAGTAAATTTATGTGATATGTCTTGGTATGTAGAAGCTTTTTTTAAATACAAGTAAGTATACTATACATATCATACAGTTACAAGAACTCCATTATATTTGTTATCACAAAAAAAGTATGTTTCGGTAGTGGGATTGTGATACGCTGACTTCAGGCTTTAAAGTCATGTGAAAAATATGTCATATACAAATGAAAACAATTGCTAATGCTTTTCTATAATGATACATTTTACAGAAGCAACTTCATTGCATAAAATGAGAATTATAATATGAAAAATCAAAAGCCGATCAGTTTCTAACCATATTCCCTTACTTAATGTAAACCAATGTATTGAAATATAGTAGATTATTTCAACATCAAATGGCAAATGTATTCAATCAATAATATTTTACAATACAGTGAATACAATAGTTTACTATATCCACCTCATTCATTCATCTGCTTATATGAATAGAATAAAATATATGGATATGACATTATTTCATTCTTAAGCTAATGTATTGAGACTAAGATATGCGATATTTTCTAAAGAGGTATTAGGCTCTAATAACGATGTTACGATGTTAGTGATTTTCGAAAGAGACCCTTTTAGGTATTTTCTAATGATTTAAGGAAGAAAAACTGTGTGAAATTATAGTCATACATGACATATATACTCTAGGCCAATTTGATATAAGTAGAATGTTTAATAACAAAACGTTGCTAGGCAACCAAAGATGGCAGATGTAAAGAACATTTTGTCAATGCTCATTATGTAGGAATTGAAATAGGTAAGTAGGTAATTGCGTTAAAAAAAGGGAGAAGAAATGTCATGTGACGAGAAGAGTGTTAGGTATTAGGTAGAGGGTTATAAGGGGAAAGGAAGGCCAAAGAAAATATGTATGGATTGTGTGAAAGATGGATAAGAAGGGTGTGAGTATAAAAATGATGGTTGATAGGGGACAGTGGAAGAAAATACATGATGTGCCGACCCCACCTAGCGTAAGAACGGATAAGGACAGGAAGAAGAAGTAGGTAATTGGGTTATGTAGACGTAGTACTATAGCATGGGAGCGTAGCTTGGGCTTGCGTAGCGAGAGGTACTTTAGAAATATAAACGACAATTATACCATAATTATAACTGTATACGTGTATTTAACTGCCTCCGTGGCCGAACGGTTACCATACCGGACTGCCACGCAGAGGTCCCCGGGTTCGATTCCCGGGCCGGGAGAAATATTTGTATGGCCTACATTTATTTCTCTCGTGAGTTTGGGTGTAATTTGTGGTTGTCTATGTGTGTGTCCATGGCACCCGCGACACAGGGTTTCCCTAGTGTGGGGCTATGTTGAGTGTGTGCGTTATTATTATTATTATTATTAAATTTCAAAGCTTTCTATTATTTTTTTGATGTCTGTTTGACATCAACATTCTATTATTCTTACAATTCTAAATACAAAACCTAAGCTGCCTGTACTACAGTACTTACTGATTATCCAAATAAATTGCTAATAATTATAAAGTTTGCAAAGTAATTAGATACATATGATTTATGAACAAAGTAATTAAAATTGCAATACCAATTAATAGATATTGCTGCTAGATAAGCAATGTTACTTTAAAAAACCAAACTGTAAGGTTTTATTTTGTATTACTTTACTACATATCTCATCCAGGACCAATTTCCGATTCTGAACTTGAATTACTTATTACTATAACTCAAATGTTTGCAATATCCTCCCTCAAACAAAAAAAAGGTAGGGATGAAACAATTTTATAAATAATATTTATTAATGTTTCAAATCACTTACTAAACTCCTATTGAGCAAAATTAACGACAAAAATGACTTCAAGATTAGTATTATCAACCAACAGGCGTATAGCTTACCATCAGGCGCACGATTTGTTCGTCCCGTCAATTGCTATTAGTAAAAAAAAAAGCATAATCGAATTTCGGGGAAAAATATTAAAATTGTGGTAACTGTCAAATTTAACTGTAAAAAATTGTCTTTAATCTTAATTGTCTTTAAAAGTTGTCTTAGTAAAAGTGTAAAAAACGTTAAAAATGATGTATACAGCCTTATTTAAATAATGTTTTAGTGCTTTCTGTAAACATTATATAAATATAACTAAGCCACGCCGATCACGCTGCCGCATCACATCTCTCTTTAAGAATAAGATTCATTTACCAGTCTTATATTTTTAATTCTCAGGGTATTAAGACTGGAATTCAACCACAGACTGCTCCCGTACTACACAGAACTAGACGCCGTGCTACTGAAAGGAAAGGAACCTGCAAACATAGTTAGAATGAAGAACAATTTCTCATACTCATCTTTGTTTTATAAAAAAACACAACCAGTTGTTGAAAAAGGTAAGTCCACATTTATTCAATTGTTAATGGAGCATAAAATAAAAGCACCTTATTGTCTTACATTATTTATTACGTTCATGTAATTTATTGATATAATAGGAATGTCTTCGATATATTATTTTCCATGAGAGTCATTTACAAAATATTGTGTTATTGTGATAATTGTCACTATCAGCCGAAAGATGTCCACTGCTGGACATAGGACTCTCCCAAAGATAGCCGCAACGATATTGTTATAATAAAGCTACAAATTTATATTTACAAAAAAATATGTGTAAATATACCTATTAATCCAGAATTTTCGAGAAAATATGTAAATCAAATAAGAACGACATTCAAAACAGATCGCTCGAAGTCCCGTGTCAAATACGTAATGAAATATTCATTAATGCACATTGAAAATTGTAATGTCAACACAGAACATTAATATTATGTGTATCAGAATAATCATATTTTTTATTATATATAAAGAAACCGACCTCAAAAGTTTGTGGAATTACATTTATTGGCAAAGTTTTATTGAAATCGGTTAACAGAAAGTGGGTGAAATCCAATAAGTTAGTTTTCAATCAACTTGCTGTTGAATATCGTCAGAAAATCTTGTAGAAATGATCACGTGTGCAGCTTGACATAACTGTTACGTAAACTGTTACTCCTCTCGCGCCGCGCAGCTATCTCAGGAACCGATTCAGCGGTAGGCCTGTACTCCTGTACTTTATTGTTAAACAACAACATGTGAACTATTGTATAGAGCTGTAAAACTATTTCCGCATTGAGTTCTTAGGTTTTCGCGATTGTCACACATAGGAAATGTATTTCTTTTTCGGGTCTAAATCGCGTATTTTTTATTTTAAACAAAACTTTGCTTTTTTACTATATTTCCCTGTTTATAGTAACAATATACTTCCTATTTGTAGTGACAATATACCAAGTAAGTTTTTTTTTATAATATCAATGACGGGACGGTCCAGTCGTGCGCCTGATGGTAAGCTACACGCCTGTCCATAACAGTTTCAGTGCTATTCAGAGCTTTAACTCGCAAGCTCTGCCACTGCGCCCGTCACCCTGAGACATACATAAGTTGACAAGTCCCGTGTGTCTGTAATTTCACCAGCAATCTTTACCTTTCTAAACCGGAACGCAGTAATGTTCACATTACTGCTTGGCGCCAGAGATAGGTAAGGTGGCAGTACTTCCCAGGACGAACTCTTTCACAAGAATCTCTACTGCTGCTAGTTAATAAAAATAGAACCTAAACAAAGAGTTAAAGCCACTCTGTACTTCCAAGTCGATTGACTGCGTCCGGTATGCATCAAGTGCAAAATGTAACTGAGAAATCCGAAGATAGCCGAAACACGAAGATTGCCAACAGATATTAAGATAATACTAATTTTATATTATACAGTGCGATTGTATTTATAAGCATTTTTTATTTAAATAAGGCAACAACGTTCTGGTGCGTTTAATTTGAAAAAAGAGTTTCTTCAATCGTTTTTTGATTTCGATTAAACGTTCTGCTTGTTACGCGTGCCCAGTGGTTCATGTTATTTTCATAATTCAACCTTTTTTAGCTTTCCCCCAAATATGTCTATGGCTCAAATCATTGCGCTCAAGTAACACGCCGCGCGTCGACGCGCGAAGCCGCTCGACTGCAACCAAGTGTCCACTATTGACTCCATATTTGCATAACACAAATTTGTACCTTAATATTGGGAGAATAGAGATGCTATAGGCGAAAAACGCGTCGGGACACTTCGACTCGCGCCAGTGTGAGTTGAGCCTATGAGTATATATCTAAAATTATCCTACAGTATGCAACATTCATATTTGCAACTGAAATTAAAAGTAAATTCATGGTAGAGCATTGGTATCAATTTTGAGTTCGCTCAAGTCACGGTCAAGTGATGCAAAAAAGTTTCATTTTTAATCGACTTAAAAAAAAGGAGGAGATTCTCAATTCGACTGTATGTTTTTTTTATGTATGTATGTTACGTGTTAACTCCGCCATCTGTGCACAGATTTTGATGATTCTTTTTTTGTTGGAAAGGGGATACCTCCATAGTGGTCCCATTTAATCTTGAAGAAAATCATCCATCTCTAAGGGTGGCTGTTCACGCATGAAGATTCATTTTTATAAATAGCGCCTAAATTTTATTATAAGAAGCAGTTATTTTAATGGTTGATTTTGCTATTCTCCAATTCAAGGCGTTTTTCTCTCTCAATATACATATATTTTGAGTAGTGAGAACCGATTTTTATTATCTCCTGTGTCAAGTTCCGTATAGTGGCGAACTAGGGGATGAATCCGGGTTTGTGCACTTTCCGGTAACCGATTTTAATAAAACTTGGCAAATAGATACATAGATACATTCCACGTACTTTTGAGGTCGGTTTTTTTAGTACTCTGTACTGAGATTGTTACAAGTGTTTACTTTATGAAACATTGTAATGTCTTTATTCGTCGATTTAATGTAAACAATCGATTCTAACACGTTTCATCTTACTCGTCACACGTTAACACACCTAATAGCCATGGTCATGGTCGTATTACAGCTTTAATTGCAATTGCAAGTTGCAAGGTGTAATTACAATCTCCATTAGTAATGTATTTCATCAACGTCCTCAGTATTTCGTCATTAATGATCGCGATGTTTGCTTCCCTTTTCCATTTTTAGAGTTTAGATTGAGTAATCACACAATTGTATATCGCACATGAGATATTGTGGATTACAGAAGCGGTAATCTACATTTTTTTTAATAGGCGCGGTGGTTCAAATGCAGTCAGATTGTAGGAATTTTTCTTTGTGTTGTTCGATCTTTGCGTCAATAATAATAACAAAGCAGTGAAGCATTTTCACAAAATGCCTATGAATATCATGATAGTAAAACATCATGACATTAGAGATATTTCAATGATTTTTTTTCTCCCGTGTTCCGTAATACATAGGCTGCACCAAAAATATTTAGTAAGTGAAATGAAAAATGGTTAGAAAACGAATAAAGTGTATTTACCAACCCCTATGCACTTATGCGTTCGGGTGAACCAGCTTTCAGAACAATAAAAAAACGTACCGTGCTGGAGGTAGTAGCAGTAGAGCTCCTTGGGAAAGAGTTCGCCCAGGGAAATACTGCCACCTTACCTATTTCAGCCGCCAAGCAGTAATGTGATCATTACTGCGCTCCGCTTTAGAAGGGTAAGGGTGCTGCTGAAATTACAGGCACCTGACACTTGTCAATTTATGTCTCACGGTGACGGGTGCAGTGGCAGTGCTCATAAAATCTTAGCAATTTAAAGCTTTGAATGTCACTGCAACTGTTATGGATAGGTGTGTCGCTTACCACCAGGCGCACGACTTGTTGGACTCGTCACTTGCTGTCAAAGAAAATATTAAATAATAATGAAAAAAAGGTCGAAAAATAACCGCCGAAATTCTTCGAAGGTCACGTACGCGGGTAAATATGTCGCCCACGAAGCATTTTTTCTTACCGTGGAAAATAAAAAGAAATCGCATGCAGATAAATCTGGGCTTTACGGAGGATGGAGTCGCATTTGTATCTCCGAAGTTGTCAAATAGTCGATGGTTATAGCAGCTGTGTGAGCGGGCGCGTTCTCTTGGTGAAAAAGAATGCTACGGACGCCGTTCCTTGGGCGGTCGCAACTCCCCGAAAGCTGGGGGCGGACAAACTTTGAATACCATTTAGTACTAACTGTTCTACGGTCTTCTAGCGGAATTATTGCGACTGTTCCACTGCGTCGAACAAAAAGCCGCTTTAATTTTTTTTATTAACGCTCCGACCGCGAACAACTTTTATGGGCAACTCGTTCTCTTCAAACACCCATTGTGTGGACTGCTGCTTCGTGAGAGGATCGTAGCTGTAGATCCAAGATTCATCAGTTGTAAGAATGTAGGATACGTTTTACGAAGTTCCTCCTTCGCACTTTTCTAGCATAAATTTGCATCAGTCAATACGACGGGATTTTTGCTCTTCGGTGAGAGAATGAGGCATCCATCGCGAAGCAAGTAACAAAATAGTTAAAACAGTTATTCTCAAAAAGGCAACGTTTATAGCTTTTCCTGAAAGTTGCGTTTTGACTCTTACGTTAATTGAGTCTAAATAAAGGTCAAAGGTAATATACTCGATATCGACTGAAAAAAAAAAGAAATAACTTCAACTTTCGACTCAAAGTAACATTTAAGTTTGCAACCTCATAAGAATTAACTCACCTTGAGATAACTGATTTAAACACGCAATTAATTTGCACTATAAAATTACGTTACTATAACTTGAGATAACCTTGTGGTTACTTTTCACGAGATCGAAATTAACGTGAATTGAAAAACAACGTGATCGAAAGTTGAAGTTGTCGTAACAATTTACGTCCTACTGCTGGGCACGAGTCCCACAAGTAGAGGGTTAATGGGGATTCACGAGCGAATTTATCCCATCCCATTTAGATGAATGAATCCCATGAATTCCATTTAGAGAGCACGCCAGTTGGGCCACTAAACGGGACCATAACTTACGGAGGAGTTTTTTATGCATTCATATGGCATTGGCGGAAACTGAACGGTCGAGTGGCCGTGATCGAGACAAGCTGTAGGGGAGTCCCGTGCTCGCTACTTGCGTCTCGCGACTCCCCCGCACAGTCGGCCACTGTCGCCGGCTACTCCCCGCCCGCCATTGGTGCCGTTTTAGCGCCTTCGTCGCTAGATCTACAGAATTTTACGAATGTTTATTCGCCAAAAATTTGGTTTTAGCGAGAAATAAATATTTAGTAACTTGTAGCGTCTGTTTGAGCCGTATTATTTTTTTGAATATAAAAATCGTGGCCTGTCCGTCAAAGTAATTGTAAAGTTAAAAATAAGTTTATATTCGTATGTGCTATTTTCATGTCTGAAGCTGGTAACACCAACGTCGAATTCAGCAAAATGGGCGATTTCTACCCACACTTGTGTCCGCGTCCAGCCACTGGTGGCCTCGCCTAGTGGGTTGACTCA